TTGAACCACCTCTACAGCCTAGAAATAAATCCCACTTGATCATGGTGAGTAATTTTTTTAATGTACTGTTGCATTCGATTTGCTAGTAGTTTATTGAGAATTTTTACATCCATGTTCATCAGGGTTATTGGCCTAACTGTTGCATTCGATTTGCTAGTAGTTTATTGAGATTTTTTGCATCCATGTTCATCAGGGTTATTGGCCTGTAATTCCCCTTTTTAGTAGGGTCTTTGTCTGGTTTTGGAATCAAGGTAATGCTGGCTTCATAGAACGAGTTTGGAAGTTCTCCTTCTATTTCTATTTTTTGGAACAGTTTGAGAAGAATAGGTATTAAGACTTCTTTAAATGGTAGAATTCCTCTGGGAAGCCATATGGCCCAGGACTTTTGTTTCTTGGGAGGTTTTTGATTACTGATTCAATTTCTTTGCTGATTATGGATCTGTTCAAATTTTTTATTTCTTCTTATTTCAGTTTTGGTAGTTTGTAAATTTCTAGGAATTTGTCCATTTCTTCCAAATTGCCCAGTTTGTTGCCATGTAATTTTTCATAGTATTCTCTTATAATTGCTTGTATTTCTGTGGTGTTGGTTGTGTTCTCTCTTCCTTCATTAGTGATTTTATCTACTTTCATCCTTTCTCTTTTCTTTTTGATAAGTCTTGCTAGGGGGTTATCAATATTATTAATTCTTTTGAAGAACCACCTTTTAGTTTTCTTGATCTGTTCTACTGAGGCTTTTTGTTTGTTTATTTCTATATTGTTTATTTCTGCTCTCATCTTTGTTATTTCCCTTCTTCTGCTGGCTTTAGGCTTTATTTGCTGTTTCTTTTCTAGCTCCTTTAGGTGTAAGGTTAGGTTGTGTATTTGAGACTTTTCTTGCTTCTTGAGGTAGGCCTGTATGGCAATATACTTCCCTCTTAGGACTGCTTTTGCTGCCTCCCAAAGGTTTTGGAGAGTTGTGTTTTCATCTTCATTTGCTTTCATGTGCTTTTTTATTTCTTCTTTAATTTCCTGATTAACCCATTCATTCTTTTGTAGGATGTTCTTTAGCCTCCATGTATTTGAGTTCTTTCCGACTTTCCTCTGTGGTTGACTTCAAGTTTCACAGCATTGTGTCTGAAAGATGCATGGTATGATCTCAAACTTTTTGTACTTGTTGAGGGATGATTTGTGACCCAGTATGTGACCTATTCTGGAGAATGTTCTGTGTGCACTTGAAAAGAATGTGTATTCTGCTGCTTTAGGATGAAATGTTCTGAATATATCTGTTACGTCCATCTGGTCCAGTGTTTTATTCAAAGCTATTGTTTCCTTGTTGATTTTCTGCTTAGGTGATCTGTCCATTCCTGTAAGTGGGGTGTTAAAGTCCCCTACTATTAATGTATTATCATCCATGAGTTTCTTTATGTTTATTATTAATTGATTAAAATATTTGGGTGCTTCCAAGTTGGGAGCATAAATATTTACAATTGTTAGATCTTCTTGATGGATAGATCCCTTAATTATGATATAATGCCCTTCATCTCTTGTTACAGTCTTTAGTTTAAAATCTAGTTTGTCTGATTTAAGTATGGCTACTTTGGTTTTCTTTTGCCATCCATTAGCATGATAAATCATTCTCCATCCCCTCACTTTTAATCTGCCAATGTCTTTAGGTCTAAAATGAGTCTCTTGTAGGCAGCATATAGATGGATCATTTTTATTTTTAATGTATTTTGATACCCTATGTCTTTTGATTGGAGCATTTAGTTCATTTACATTCAAAGTGGTTATTACGAGATTTGAATTTTATGTCACTGTAGAGTTGGTGTTTCTGGTGATAGTCTCTGTTCTTTTCTAGTCTTTTGTTGTTTTTAGTCTTTTTTTCCCCCACTCAATGAGTCCCCCTTAATATTTCTTGTAGGGCTGGTTTAGTGGTCACGAACTCCTTTAGTTTTTGTTTGGGAAACTCTATCTCTCCTTCTCTTCTGAATGACAACTTTGCTGGATAAAGTACTCTTGGCTGGGTATTTTCCCCATTCAGCACACTGAATATACCCTGCCACTGTCTTTTGGCCTGCCAAAGACTTTTTTCCCTTGCTGTTTTCAGGATTCTTTCCTTGTCTGTGTATTTTGTGAATTTGACTATGATATGCCTTGGTGATGGCCAGTTTTTGTTGAATTTAATGGGAGTTCTCTGTGCTTCTTAGATTTTGATGCCTGTATCCTTCCCCAGATTAGGAAAGTTTTCTGCTATAATTTGCTCAAATAAACCTTCTGCCCCCTTTTCTCTCTTCATCTTCCGGGACTCCTATGATATGAACGTTATTCTATTTTAATAAGTTGCTGAGTTCCCTAGGTCTACCTTCATGACCCATTGCCTTTGTGTCCCTCTTCTTTTCAGCTTCATTATTTTCCTTAATTTTGTCCTCTATATCACTGATTCATTCCTCTGTTTCATCCATCCTCATTTTTATGGCATCCATTTGGGCTTGCATCTTGGTTATAGCATTTTTAATTTTGGCCTGACTAGATTTTAGTTCTTTTATCTCTGCAGTAAAGGATTCTCTAGTGTCTTCTATGCTTTATTCAAGCCCAGCTGATATCCTTATAATTATTGTTTTAAAATCTATTTCATACATCCTACTTATACCTGTATTGACTAAAGCTCTGGCCATGTTCTTTCTCTTGGGGTGAATTCCTCCATATTGCCATTTTGGAGGAAAAAACAAAAACAAAAAAGCAAAAAGCAAAAGCAAAATCAAACAAAATAAAATTTTTTTTAAATTAAAAAATAAGAGGGGCACCTGGGTGGCTCAGTCGTTAAGCGTCTGCCTTCGGCTCAGGTCATGATCCCAGGGTCCTGGGATCGAGCCCCGCATCGG